ATTTATGAACGCAATTAATACCAACAAATATATGGCAAACATTTTAAATAAACGATTGTATAATATTTATATCAAAATGTCTAAAGTATACTGGTAATATATTGTATTCAGTGGTTTCAAACTTCTAATTTCACTTGAAACATTTTGCTTTATTTATATATTTGACAAAAGTGTGATAAGAAAATATTATATGTGCCTCACCTTAAATGATCAGGATTAGTAACTTACTATTGCTATATTTAATTAATACCCAATAGTTATCAAATAGTTTTATTTGTATATTTACTTGATTTGTTAATATTCAATTATAAAAGATAACAAATTAAAAGTACATTTTTAGGGCAATCTATAACGTTAAATATTACATTGTATATTAAGGTTAAATTAAGTTCAATATAATATTGATTACAATTTAATACTCCAGTAATTTGTGCCAATAGTTAAGGTTTATACATGTTCATTGTGTGCAATACTATTAGTAGCCTATTTTCATAATTGATTAAATTGACTGGATAAGTACAAATGGTGATTTAAAAAATATTTATCAATTTAAGATAATGTGCACTAAATCATATATTTTGCACTAAATTCTGGTGAAATTTATTTTCAAAGTAAAAGTCAAGTCTTTTCAATGAATTGATTTTCAAATTTACCAGCACCGGTATGTTACTAGCACCGGCTGATGCTCTGGAGCTAAAACTATAAGAAATACAGAGATGATCAGGGTACCATTTGAAAGAGCATCAAAATCAAAGGATACATGCAATTGATTACTGCCATTGAAAAAGATTTAGAATTTGTTATTTCTTACAGTAATTGTCTGGCAGTCAGTAATCAATGGTAAAATGCAATCTTTGCGATGCTCCAGATCAGTCATCTGAGGAGATATTTAAAAAATTTAAAAGCATGGAAATTTGCTTTTACTGAGGTATCGGGCCTCCCAGTGCTAAAACTAAACATTTTGGGGAAAATCTATCAAGGGCATGTATCCTTTGATTTTGATGCTCTTTCAAATGGTACCCTGATCATCTCTGTATTTCTTATAGTTTTAGCTCCAGAGCATCAGCCGGTGCTAATATAACTAATTTTGTAGTTTTGAAATCAAATTATTTCCAAACAAATCGTATTTATTGGTAATAATGAGTTGTGATTATATATTTGTATAATCTTTACATTTATTTAAAAAATAATTAAAGAGTTTTAGAAACAAAATGCGTAAAGAATACATATGGTGACAATCAATCAAAATTATCTGTTAATTGTTTTTCCCCAAAATTCAGTTATTTTTTACAGAAATTGAAAACTTTCACAAAAATCAGTCAATAAAAGTTTGATTCGTTGAGCATTTATTTTGAATGTTCCTGATAATAGTATTTAGATTATAGAGTAGTTTCTACTCAGTAGACTATAGGTTATGAGTATGATTGGTAATTTATCAATTATCTTAACATAATCCTCATTACAGTATTAAGTAAATGCACTAATATTACTATTACCTTGTTAGACTTATTGAATCTATTTAACATTATTTATTATAAATTGTGATTATTAAATTTAAGAACAGTACTCTATTATACAGTACTAGATACTTACATCAAATTCAATAATAATTTAATAAGTTTTGTTTTAGCCAAATTTTTGTTATTGTATAATAATTTTTACAAATTATTTTTCACCAATTAATATTTAATTGTTAAGATTTTATAAATTATATGAATACAGTATATTATATTTAAAATTTAGCTTAATATTTTTAGAATAGAATAGTGGTCAAAATTTTTAAAAATTATTTTAAACAGACATTTGTTTAATAAGTTTTAATCTAATCTACATTATTATCGACATTCAAATAGTCTGAGTCCATGTTATACTTGAGTCCGCCATCAATGACCAGATTATGACCGGTTATGAACTCAGCATCACTTGAGGCCAGAAATACCACTCCTTTGGCTATATCTATGGGTTGACCTATCCTTCCGAGTGGTGTATATTTTGCACATTTCTTAATTACTTCGTCCGGTATTCCAGGTTTTAATACAACTCCTACACTGAAAATGTATGAAATTTAAGTACAAATGTTTTGCCACAACATAACACATACCTGAGTGTATTAACTCGTATACCCTGTGGACCCAACTCTATGGCCAACACATTGGATATCGTTGTCAGAGAAGTTTTGGCCAAATTGTAGGGCAACATAGATTTTATCTATAAATATAAATGTTTATTAAATTATAAATTATAGGATAGTATTACCGGTCTCTCGGATATAGTTGCTCCGATATTAGTTATGGATCCGTTTGTCTTTTGCAAATACGGGACACTCAGTCGTATGAGTTGTAGGGATGCCTTGACGTCAACCCTCGAAGATTTGTCCAAAATATCCAAAAAGTCTTTTTCAGTTCCGTTGCCGAATATTACGGCACCGGCGTTGTTTACCAATACATCCAATCTATTGAATGTCTTAATTGTCTCATTGAACAGACGCTCAATATCTGCATTTTTGGTCAAATCCGCCACAACTCCCAATGGCTTTACAAATGATATTCAATTCAAATATAATTTTCAAAACTTAAACAAATTATGATTTCATTTACTTTCAGCTTTTTTGGTGATAATTGTTGGACTTCTTGTACCACTGTCTCCACATGGGATGCATTCCTACCGGTGACGACAACCCTGGCCCCCAACGCCGAGAATAGTTTCACCGTTTGTTCTCCGATTCCAGAACTACTTCCGGTCACCAAAACTACTTTTCCCGTGAAATTGCGTGAATCCCTCACCTCATCGTAGATATCATTGTTTTCAGTCAACATTTTAAATAAACGATTGTATAATATTTATATAAAAATATCTAAAGTATACTGGTAATATGTTATATTCAGTGGTTTTAAACTTCTATTTTCAATTG